TCCGAGTTTACAAGCTCAATCAAAATTGAGCTGAAATTTTAGCTCATTTATGAGTTGGTCTTTAGTTCACTTATTGAACTATAGCTCATTATTAGCTAAGTTTTAGTTCATAGTTATCTTTTATTAAATGTATTTTTTATTATTTTTATGTCTTTAATTATGTTTATCCCTTGAAATTCCAAACCGGCCTTTGGAATTCCAAGAAGTGTTGTTTTCCATGTGTGGCTCCTTGGCTTCTACCATGGGCTTTAGTTTTTTTTTTGTGCCTTTGCCCCTTGGAATTCTGGCCGGCTGCTGGCTTTCCGAGCCTGGGATGTCTCCCGTGGCTGTGGCGCCTTGGTTCCGTGCGGCCTCCTTGTCTCCCGCGGCTGCTCCTTCGCTTCCTGGGCTTGGGCTGTTTTTCCATGAAAAGCATTTGTGTTTTAACGTTTGTGATGTTTAGAATTCATTGTTAGTGTCCTTTTGTATTCCCCTTTCATACCTATAAATATGAGGGGTTTGTAATGTTTTAAAATAGTGAATGATATGTGATTTTTGAAAATATAAACATGCGGGTTTCATGGAAAAGCTTGCGAGCTTTGTCCGTCTTCTTTCTCATCCCCTCTAGAAATCTTGCGAGCTCTTTCCAACCTTTCGTCTTGGCTTCTAACCTCTTTCGCCTCTCCACAAGTGCCACTCCACCTGTATCCCTCTTCTCTAAGTGAAGCAACTTTAGGGTGTCTTTGATTTTCGATTCGAGTTTGTTAGATCGTCGTTTGTAGTCTTTTAATTTCTTCTTTTTAGTTTAATTTGAAATGTAAGAGTTTGTTCTTCCTCGTCTTAGTCTCATCTTCCGTGATTTCGTGGTTCGTCGGTTTTTTAAGAGCCAATCGTTCGTGTGGGCGAGGGTATGCCCCTCCTTATATTTCCTGCCCCCACCAAGCAACCATAAAGAATCTCCGAGTATGAGCACCAAAACCAACTATAAAGAATTTTATTCAAACAAGAGCATGCTACCTGTAAGTAAATTTCCATAGTAATAATATCTATATCTAATTAAGGGCAGTCACTTAAGAGTGAAATTATGAAACTTTACACTGATTCCTACATTACATTGAGAATTGTCTAAATAAAGGTCATTTACTGTACCAAATGGCATCAAACGTTTTGAAACTGCTTAACGACAAAATGTGGATATGCAAGAAGAAGAAGACAATTACCTTCGGGCAATTTGATTCATCTTGCAAAACCTTTTGTAGGTTAGATACACGAACAAGTTTTTCAAACTTAGCTACTGCATCAGTTAGACTCTTAGAATCCTTAATAAGGTACCTTTGGAAACCCCACTTCACTGCTATAAATGCAAAAGAATTGTTGTTAACAGCGATGGATCTCAAATCAGTTATCTGACCTGGTTTCAGGTCTGGATAAACTGAATAAATATATGACGTCATCAGGTATTCCAAAACAGCATCTCCAAGAAATTCCAGCTTCTGCACGAAGATTTAAAATTTTCCAATCATGAAGAAAAATTATGCAAACTGATGTATTATTGAAAACTAAAACGGCTTAGCATCTACAAAACATTCAAAGGCATCCTCATTTGATGGTAGGCAAAAAATTACATATCAAAGATGCTAACCTGGTAGCACCCACCAGAGTGTTTACTATATGAAGGGTGAATAAAAGCTTGAAGAAGAAGGCCTCTGTGCTTAAATGTGTAATCTAAAGATTCCTCTAGTGCTTTGATATTTACAATTTCATTAAGTGACATGTTGATCTTGCTCCCTTCCAGAACTCTGTAAACATCTGGAACATTAAAATCACCTTGAATGCCAATCAATTGAAGAAATGCAATTGCAGCTCTGAATCCACTTTCAACAAGAAATGCTCCAACAAGGGCTTCCACGGCATCTGCAATAGTTTTCCTGTACAGCCAACGATGAGATTTAGTACATTTCACGTCGATAAAATCTGTTCCATCTTCCACGTTACGAGAATGCACAGTTGATTCTGTATCCACATTGCAAATTTTAGTACAGGGACGCCCAAATGGGAAGTATTGAGATGGCTCAAATGATTCATCACGTATATACACCTGATTCAAGAAGAGAAGCTATTAATGGCTATTTAACGCCACAGGACACAGTAGAATGGATGAAAAAAAGCTTCAAAAGTTAAGAAAAACTTAGAATAGCAACTATTTAACAAAATATTTTAACTAGATAAACATAGGAGTAAAACCAAAGGTAATAATAAGAAATTACCAAAAACCAAGAAGAAAATAACATAGAAAAAGATACAAAATATTCATTTTCATAGTCCGACTTTAAGCATTGTAAATAAATGTAAGCACTGATAGAAATTCTTTTAAATTCTGCTGCTTTGGGCATACAAAATATGAAATCTCTTATCGATGCAATAAAAAATTTGGGGAGGGACCCAAATTTTTTATCACAAAAACAAACTATTTCTATAACTTAAAAGAGACTAAAATTTAACATAAGATAAGACGATGACACTTGCACAAAACAAAACACAACTTTAATATTATGAAAGGACTTATAAGACACTTACAAACCTTGACGACTTACAAACGACTCACATAAAACACCTAAAGTTGCTTTCATCCATTAGAAGAATGATACAGGTGGAGTGTAAACTTGCGGATAGAAGAAAGAGATTAGGAGCCGAGACGAAGGTTGGAAAGAGCCCGCAGGATTTCCGGAGGGGATGAGAAAGAAGATTGGAAAGAGCCCGCAGGATTTCCAAAGCAAAAACCTCTCAGGTTTTGTCCCAAAAATCACATTATAAATCCTCTCTAAAACAGCCACAAAACCAACTCATATTTATAGGCATGAGAGGGGAATACAAATAGCCACTAAAACTTAATTAAAAGCTAATTAAAATATGAAGATAGAAGGCCAAAAGGCACCTAAAACTGCAGTAGGAATCTGCCCAAAAATCTGTCCAAAAACAGCCCAAAAACTGTTCAAATTCTGTCCCAAAATCTCTTCATATTCCCATATAAATGAGGTAATTGAAAGGCCATCAGTCACTTTACTGAAATCCCAAAAGTCACTGCCATTTCCAAGAAGAACAAGGCCACAAAACCAGCCAAAAAATAGAGCCAATGCCACGGTTTCAGCACAGGAAACCAGGAGTCTTTTCACGGGTAAAGGGGGAAGAAGTCATGGCAGCAAAGAGGGCAGATTCACTGAACCAGCAGAAATTGGTAAAAGGAGGGACCACAGGAAATAAATCCTGAGCCAGCCGTGGGAATTAATGCAAAAGCAGCCCAAGAGACAAACTGCAGCAGCCCCACCTTAAGAAGAATATGAAAGAACAAGTTCCACTCACCATATCTAGCTCCCAAACATTAAATTTCATGACTAATCATTAGCTCATAATGAGCTACAATTCCACTAGACATTAATGAGCTAGAGGAGTCAAAAATCAAATATTTTGATTTGATTTGACCCCCCTGCCTACTTATCCACAAGAAAGTCGACACTAAGCTGCTCCAATCATAATTAAAAATCTGTTGAGAAGATTAGTTGTCATTCTAATTACAAGTAGGTGATACGAAAGCAGGATCCAATGGAGAAATTTTGGTCCCTCTTGTGGGTCCTAATAAGGAATTAATTCATTATGTTAGGAAAGGAAATAAAGGGAGGATTAATTAGGAAAAAAATTCCTAACTGAATTCATATTAAAGAGGAAAAGATTTCCTAATTGAATCCAAATCAAAGAGGGAAATATTTCCTAATTGAATCCAAATCAAAGGGGGAAATTAATAAGGAAAGAAATCTATTTGGAGGGAATTTGAGAGCTTATTTAAGGAAAGGACTAAGATTATTTTTTTTTCATGCATGTTTGAGTTTGCTGTAGTTTTTTTCTTTTGGTAGGACTTCCTAGCAGTGATTGGGTTGTTTGGGAGAACCGATCTACCTCTCTAATTATAGATCAATTGTATCTTATTTTTTGTTGAGTATTAATAAAAAATCAGTCTTAATTCCTACTATTTGCTACTGTATTCCCTATTGTTCTGCTATTTCTCTAAATTCTCTGTTGTTCTCATTGATTTACTCCAGGGCATATCAAATTGGTATCAGAGCGGTGTCCTGGGCTGAAAGTAAAAGTCCCCATCGCTGATTTTTGCTGAAATTGTTTTTCAGCCTTGCTGATTTTCTCTGTTTGGAGGCCAAATTCACCAATTTTTTGTTGTTTTCACACTTTGGAGACCAAAATTTATGAATGGCAGCAAAGAAAATGGAAGCTTTGGAAGGAGAGATGGAGCAATTTAAGACCGAGATGCAGGAGAAACATGTCAGGATGGAGGAAAGATTTTCCAAAATGGGGGGAAGGTTTTCCTCAATGGAGAACCGCTTTGGAAACATGGAAGGCATGATGAATATCGAGATGCAATCGAAGGTTTCACTAGCTACTCCTAGGGATGATTGGAAAGGGAAGAAAGTTCAGGAGGAGGATGATGAAGTGGAGAGAATTTTCCCTCTAGGAACATCCCGAGGGATTTCGAGGGAGGTGCATTAGGGTATCCGAAAGAAAGGGCAGCAAGAAGAGGGGATACCGAACCCTTTTGGAGACCACCCAGGAAGGAAGGGAGGTGGACCAGAGGACGCAATGATGGGGCCGAACCATGGAGTCTAAATCCGTCAAGGGAAGAACAGAGAGAATTGCACTACCACTACATAGGAGGAACTAACAGATGAAGAAACCATAGGATATAGATACGAGGTCGAGAAAGTTAAAGATACCGTTTTTCAAAGGGGAAGATGCTCAAGGTTGGGTGTACCGGGTGGAGCATTACTTTGCGATCAATGGTCTGATCGAAGGAGAAAAACTCATGGCGGTAAGGCTATGTTTGGAAGGAAAAGCCCTAGCTTGGTTTCAGTGGAGAGAAGATAGGTATCCGATTTATTCCTGAGGAGATTAAGGATTGTTTGTTGGAACATTTCCAAGCCATTCAGGAAGGGGACCTCCATGAATAGTTCTATGTCTTAAATCAAGAAGGGACCGTCATGGAGTATTAGGAGAAGTTTGAGCTGCTATATGGTAGACTGAGGGGAATTTCTTAGGAAGGGTTGGAAGAAAATTTCATGAAGGGCCTTAGAGAATACATAAGGGCATAGCTCAAAGTGCTGAGGCCTAGAGGGTTGAGAGAGATAGTGGAGCTAGCACAAAGGGAGGAGGAGAAATATCAGAGGGAGATGGCCAGTCGAAGCAACCCCATGGGAGGGGCTTATAGGAACACCTTTACTACCTTGGCACCGAGGACTCGGACAATGTCATTTCAGAGGGAGACACCTAAGGAGAAGAGCACCAGAGTTCGTACAAGAGGCAATTTCAAGCGCCTCATAGAAGTAGAAGTGCATCATAGGAGAGCAAAATGGTTATGCTTCAGGTGTGATGAGAAATTTACATCGGGGCATAGGTGCAAGAATCGAGTCCTTAAGGTCTTGATGGTTTGTGAGCGGGAAGAGGAGAGTAGGCAAAAGTTGGAGGATGTACTGAAGGAGACAGAGTAGTTGCATTTGGATGTGGTGGAGGTGTCCTTAAAATATGTGTTGGGATTTACTCCAAATCACACCATGAAAGTGAGGGAAAATTGGAAAGCAATATGTCGTAGTTTTGGCGGATAATGGAGCCACACATAACTTCATCTCAAATTGGGTGTTATACCGATTGAGGTTGAAGTTAGCAAAGACGGAAGGAAGTGGGGTGATGATGAGAACATGGAAGATAGAGAGAAATAGGGGTATATAAAGGGGTGGTGATGACCTTGCAGGGTATTCAGGTGGTGGAAGATTTCCTTCCCTTGGACTTGGAGAGTATGGATATGATTTTAAGTATGAAGTGGCTACAGACTATTAGGGTTATGAAGGTGAACTTCCAAGTCACTGACCATGGAGATACAAGTGGAGGGGAAAAAAGTAGTGCTTCAAGGGGATGCTTGCTTATGCAAGACCATAGTCTCTTTAAAAACCATACTCAGGACAATCCAGGATGCAAGTCTGGGATATTTGGTAGAGTTGCAAAGCATAGAATGAGTCCAAGAATAGGAGGCAAGGAAAATTCTAGAGAGGTTGATCATGAAGATGATGGAAGCAAGGATCATCAGAACTAGTGTAAGTTCTTTCTCTAGCCTGGTACTATTGGTGAAGAAGAAGGATGACAGCTGGAGGTTCTATATAGATTACAAGGCTCTAAACAAGGAAACAATATTAGATAAGTTTCTAATTCCCATGATAGATGAACTATTTGATAAGTTATTTGGAGTTGTGATCTTCACCAAAATTGATTTGAAGTCGGGATACCATCAAATTAGAATGAAGACAACAGATGTGCACAAGACAGCCCTTAGGGTACATGAAGGGCATGACGAGTTCTTGGTGATGCCTTTGGCCTCACCAACGCTCATGCCACTTTCCAACCACTTATGAACTGAGTGTTCCAGTCATATCTCTAAAGGGTTTGTCTTGGTATTCTTTGATGGCTTTTTAATATACAACAAGACAGAGGTAGAACATGGGGAGCACTTGAAGATATTAATAGAGACCTTGAGTGAGCATCCGTTGTTTGCCAACTAGAAAAAGTGCACGTTTGGGCAATGACAGGTGGAGAATTTAGGACAGGTGGTATATCGACCAGCCTAAGATTCAGGCCATGGTGGACTGGCTTCTTCATAAGAACTTAAGGGAGCTACAGGGGTTCTTGGGGATTATCGATTACTACAGAAAGTTTGTGAAGGAATAATGTACCATAGTTAATGTACCTATACTGGTGGTCCAAGATTTTAAGAGATCATTTGTGGTGGAGACAGATGCCTCGGGTTATGGGTTAAGATCAGTACTAATGCAAGACCAGAAACCTATTGTGATTCAAGAAAAAAATATAGGGGACCCTATATTTTTTGCTTAACAAAGATAAAACTTTAACGACACCTGACAAAGCAAAGACTAGAAGAGGAAAGAACAAACTCTTATATTTCAAATAAAATAAAAAGAAGAAATTAAAAAACTACAAACGACTCTTGCAAACAAAAAGACGACACCCTAAAGTTGTTGCACTTGGAGA